CTTGGCAAGTATTTCTGGGACACTAATGCAGCTGGCTACAGGGTTAACCCAACACATGCCCGTTCAATCTGCCCCTACCCTTTATGATAGCTTCTATTGTTATAGTTGTCGAGTGGTGCTTAAATCCTAGCTTACTGATTTTTTCCCCCAGCTCATGTTGTTAGATTTGTCAGGTTAGCTGCAGCCGCTGAAAGACTGCAGTGGTCTGTTCCCTTGCCTTTAGGGTGGAAACCCTGCGGTTGGAGGAGGATTACTTTCTGCTTCAGCGTAACTGACATCATCCTTTTAGTGCTCTACTTTCCCGCAAAGTTGTGCCGAAGGATGAGAGGAGCAGAGCCTTTTGTGCTTTGAGGGAGACTGTTATTTTTAGTAAACAGCTGTGTCTAGACAGGAATTGGATTGAAATGGCCTCTGCCAGTATTGCCACCCTGTTTCTAGGTTGCAGGCCGTTGTTTGGATGCTTTCAGGAGGGTGGCGGCATTGCAGAGCTCACACCCCCCCTTTTATGAATGGCAGGCATTTGAGGAAGAGTCTGTTGCACTTGTATCATTGGAGACGGCATCCCCAGACCTCCTCCCCCCTCACCCCAAAATCCAATCTTTGTACCAAAGACCTCACTCTTTGCAGTTCTGATCATGCAGGAGCTGGCTGAGAGGTGATGGGGTGGTGGGCTCCAGGCCAAAGGGAAATCCCTCTAAGGGCCCTTGGCTTCTCTCAGAGAAGATGGGACTTGGCAGGAGGTGGTCCTAGTAGCACAAGAGGGTTTTAAAAAAAGAAGAAGTCCTGGCTAAGTTCCCGAGTTGCTTAGAGTCAGGTTGTGTCCCTGGAGCTGTCCAAGGTGCTTCCACTTTATCTAGCCGGATTAAGGTACTCTTGGGGGCTTTCTTGTGTCCTGTGGATTCTGACTTGTTCTTAGGACATAGACAGGCAACCTTGAGAAGGATAGAAAGGGATAGAAGGTTTCCTGGAACTTTCCACCCTTGCTGCTTCGAGCCCATCCACTGAGTGTTGAGTCAGGAAACTGTATGACTCAGCACTGGCCTCCAGAGCTTCATACGCAGAGCTTTCTGCTTCACTCGCGAAGCTGATGGTTGAACAGATACTACCAAGTGCTCTTGCCTTTTTCAGCCCTCCTTGACCCGTGCCACAACTTGGGAAATAAACTGTCTTGGAAGGGTTTGCTTGTGACTCCCCAGCATGTGTTAACACCACAAGCAATCTATTTTTAAAGGGCAAGGGGGGTTTCAAAAGGAGGCTAGTATAGACCTCTACATGTTTCAGATGCCTCTTCTCCAAAACCTTAGCCAGCCTGGGTCACTTGTGGCCTCTGAACTCCTTTCCTCTTATTTCTTTTTCACTTCATTGTGGGATCTGTGTCAGCCCGCCTCTAGCGCACATGGGTTGACCGAAGAATAATAGCCTTAGAGTCATAGAATCATGAAGTTGGAAGGGGCCTACGAGGCCATCAAGTCCAGCCTCCTGCTCAAGGCATGACCCCCTTGCTCAACGCCTTCTAGAGATGCAAACAAGATAGAAAGCACCTTCCACTCCCAGTCATACCAACCTGTCCATCATCTGTTGGTCCGCTTGCCATCTGAGGCGAGGAGAGTGACTTTTAGGTAAAAGGGTTTCTGCTGACTTTTTGGCCCCAGCAACTATCTACATTTGATTTGAAAAGATTCCTCCAGTCTTTAAGATTTGGGTGTTTCTATTTCCCATTGCTGCACTTGATGTTTTGATTGCATTTTGTGTTAACATTATAATTATTATTATTATTTTGAAAATCAGTTTATTGATTTTAAACCACTTTGAAAGCAAAGTGGTTTAAATATGGAGCCCTTTGACTAATGGGCTCAATCCAGTTTCAATCACATCTAGGTTGGGCCCACCAAAATTAGGGACTTGTTAGTCACTACTTAAGGAAGTTCCATTGACGTTAGTGGACACAGATAGTGGTTAAAATCCCGTTGCTTAAGTTGCAACTAGAGTAGGACCGCTGAAGCAGTGGGGATTTGTTAAATCAGCCGCTCTATATACGTTTCATTGAGTCTCTTCCCATTGCATGTTACTACCCTAAGCAATAGGATTTCAACCTTAGGTGCCCGTTGTCAAAATTACAGCTTTTGTCTGGTTCAGGGAAGGCTGATATTGTTGGTTTTTTTAATTCATGGAACGATATAACTGATGTTTATTTTAAGGTGATAGGTGAAGGCAGCCACACAATCTTGTCCTTGTACCTTTGAGATAAATAACTGTCTCTTTTTCCTTTTGTCTTCCTGTCAGTTTTGAAGACATTCTGTGCCTTGCCGATTCCACGTCCCTCTCAGAAATCTCTTTAGATGGCAACCCCATAGCGCAGGAGACATGGTACAAGCCTACTGTTCTCCACCATATGATGCAGCTCCGACAGCTAGACATGAAGAAAATCACAGTAAGGGATTATTTCAGAAGGCAATCACTAAATGATTTCCCCTCCCTCCCTCCCTTTAGAAGCAATGATAGGAAAAGGGCTGTGTTAGTCGCTTTCCTTCCTGCCTCTTCAGACCTAGGATTTTTCTGAGCTGAGCTGAGATAGGAACCCCTGGTGAAATTCAAGCCCATAATGTCCAGTAGGGGGAGCCACAAATACGGCAGAACAGTTGATGGCTGAGTTCCCGCCCCCCCATCCCACACTTTTTCATAGAAATCCATTTCAAAACAAGGGTCCAAGGGGAGGCGGTGGTTATTCAGCAACCAAAGATAGAGAGGGAGGGAGGGAGGGAGGGAGAGAGAGAGAACAAAAAATGCAGAGCTCTTTCTGATTTTCGTAGGTATGGCTATCCTTAGCTTCCTTTAATAAGGAAGGAAATTATCTTGCTACTATTATCTTTACTATTTCCAGTGCCATCAGTTTGGTCAGAACCTTGCTTATCCCCCCCCCCAACAACAACAATTAGGAAGTCCATATGTTCTACTAAGTCCATATGTTGTACTATGTGATAAACTTTGCTCTTCCTGCCTTTTTAAAATTAGAAATTGGATAGGAAAAGGGAATTTGGAAGGTTAAGGGGAGTAAGAACAGAGAGAGAAACAGCACAACCAAACATTGAAGTTCTCAGTGATGATAGCCATCATGCACAGGGTAGAGAAAGTTGATCAGGTGATGCATCCTCTGCCCATAATGGTGTGGTCCAGTGGGGTCAGCCAGTGAAGGAAGCTCAATGTGGTTAGATGGGTGGCAGACAAAAAGGAAGGAACTCTTTATAAAGCAAATGGCATTGATTTCCACAAGATATAGTGGTGCTTGTTGATCTGGACAGCTTCAGAAGAGGTTTATCGTGCACGGAGTCTAAATCTGTCTGCAGTTAAATTGACTGATCCAAATGGCTATGGGCTTCCTTCAGCTTCAAAGGTACTGTGACATGGAATTCCAGCATCTGGCCAGCAACAAGAGGAGGGGGGGTTTCTGTCATCACAGCCTGCTTGCAGATAGGTGGGCCACTAAGGGAGGCAGAATGCTGGACTTAATACATGGTACCCTGGGGGATCAGTTCCAAGCTGCTGCTCCTCTGCAGATTCTGGAAAGTATGAGTATAGAAATGCTACACCTATATATCGTAGTCTCTGGTTACCTCTAGTGGCCAGTTCTGGTAGTATACCTTGGAAATGCATATTTCTGGGTTTTAAAATTTAATATTTTCAGGCAGTGTGAGTATGTGAAACTGCGAGTACTGATCCCACAGATACAGCAGTCCTAATCATTTTAGAACTGCAGGTCTAAAATAGACCCTATGGATTATCAAGTCCAGCTCCTCTCAAGGAGGTATAGTGGGGAATCGAACTCCCAACCTCTGGCTTTACAACCAGAGACTTAAACCACTGAGCTATCCAGCAGTTCTGTTGATTAATCCAGCATGACTTTTCTTACAGACCTTTTTTTAATCAGTTCAAAATGTTTTTGTGTCTTCAGACAACTTGTATAATGTGACTCTAAAAGAACAGTAAAACAGCAAACATGAATGAAGTCAGTAAACTCCACCAACAGTAATAATAAGCATCTAGCCCACATTAATTTGAACATTCTTGTACCTTTTCATGGGCTGGAGAAACTAATGACAAGGGAAGGCTATTTTCTTGGGATTGCTTAGTGTAGAAGGAAAAAGGCTGAGAAAAAAAAACATGTTTGTGGGAGATGGATGGAGTGTTATTTTATTCCACTCACAATACTAGGACTTGGTGAGTGCTATTAAAGCTGAACGATGGGAGATGCAAGATAAAATGATTGGAAGTCACATCATGTTAGCTAAAGAGATGACTTTGCTGCCATGTTAGGTAGGAATGAGCATCAACTTGGACAGGTGTAGAGAGGGATTAGACAAGTTGCAGGTGATGAGTGCACCGGTGGGCTGTTAGTCCTAATGGTCATACATGACCTCCAGCGTTAAAGGCTGTGTATGTCTCAGCACCAGCTACAGACGGAAAGGGAGATTAAGACCCTCTCGGGCATGATCACGGGTGTGCCTTTGAAGCTGTCTGATCGCACCCTGAGTGTCCACAATCACATTTCTTTCCCAGTTCTTTTAACTTCCAGCCTCTGCAGATTTAGAGCCAATATGGTGCAGTGAGTGGAGGGACAGTGAGGCCCCGAGGTTGATTCCGCCCTGCCAGCTTCCCAGTCTGGGAACCCTTGAGGGGGGGGGGTTCCTAGAAGCCCCGGCCTTCTTCTTGGCTGGTATTCATTTGGGATTCTCTCTTCCCCCCCCCCCCAAATGGTTTGCTCTTCCTCCCTGCAAGTTTCTGAATCTCACTGTAAGTGGCTTTCTCTAAAACCTAGGAGGAAGAAAGGCGTTTGGCATCCGTCGCCCTGAGGAAAGAGGAAGAAAAGAGACGCGAGAACCACAAGCAGACTTTGCTGAAGGTACCAAAGCGTGACCCTCGGGGGGATGTGAACGTAACTGAACAGGGCCCTTATTTCCTTTTCCTCCACCGTGAAACTTCTTGTCCCTGCTCATCAGCAGTTCTTGCTGCTGCTGCTGCTCCTCCTTCCCAGCGATTCGCTTCCACTGTGTCTTCCCTTGCATGCTATGCATCCTCTGATTACAGTCTGCCTCGCTCTTCTTTCTGCCTTGGTTTCCCATAACACGAGCCTCGCTGAGTCAGACATGTGGGGGGCAGCCCATAAACTCCTCAGAAGCGGAGGTCCAGTGGGACCCCTGCCTCGGGCCACGGAGGCTTCTCATTGGCATGGCTGATAAAAGTAATGGATCGCTCTTTTCTCCTCCTCTGGCGTGAATTTTTCTGATGGGCCTTGAGGCCTTCTAAGCCAAGATCCACCATGATAATCCTGTAGCAGGGAATCAATGTCAATTCATTCTGCAGTTTGTGAGCAAGGACTTTCTCTGAAACCCATGCCAAGCAGGGCTATGCCCCAAGAAGGAGGGCAGAGGGGGTCCATTCTTTCCCAGCAGGGTTTATAGCTTTATAAATCTTTGCCATGCATTTCCTCTTTTGTCTTCCTTTCCTTCTGTAAACTATTTTGGTAATGTGTTCATCCTTCTTCATAGGGAAATCAACTTGATTGACTGTTTCTTTTAAAACACATGTTTTGCCCAGATGGCTTTAGCATAATCTGTGTGATTTCAATAATTCTGTTTGTTACTCTCACATCCCACAGTCTTGGGTTTAGATTTCTTTTTATTGAGCAGTGGGTTATCGTCCTTGACTGCATGTGAGCGGGTGAGAGGGAAGGATTTTAGAAGAAAGTAGATATGAATGGACTGGTAAATCACTGGGGGGGTTTACAGCGAAGGACCAAGGATTTCTGACCCCCACCCTATTATGCCATCGAAGTGAAGAAAAGAGCGATGAGAGAGAAGGTAAACAAAAGCAGAACCAGGACTGGCATTTTATGTTGTAAAAGTGATGGAAATTTAGTTCTTCTCCTCAAGAGAGACTCTTAAGCTCAGAATTCTTACATTCATAAATGTCTGTCTTTTGCATCATTTGTTTGTTGGTGGCTGTCAGAGTTCTAGTAAAAGATAAATACCGATGCTCCACGTCTGAAGTCTGCCCACCTTGATCTGATGGTATTTCAATTTAGGAGAAGAAGCGCTTGACTATTAGCAATATTGCTCGTCTGTGGGAGAGCCAACAGAATCGGTTCGCCCCATCTTCGGATCAAGAGAACAACAAAGACGACGAATCCTGCCAAAATAACAGAAGTTCGGCATATGGATTTCCTGAGCAAAGCAGGTATGATGACCTGCACGGTCTTCCAGGTGAAGATCCCCACCCTGTTTCTGGCAGAAGGGGTCTAGAGAGGGTCACGAACATGGGTGTAGCCATCTCCTGCTCTGTCAGGCTTTAGCAGGTTCATGGCTTATGTCATCGGCTTAGTGAGTACAGCGGTTCCTCATCTCGAGTCCTGAGATGGTCTTGGACTCCAACTCCCAGAAATCCTGGCCAGCACAGCAAGTGGTGAAGGCTTCCGGGAGTTTTAGTCCAAGACTATCTGGGGACTCAAGGCTGGGCATCAATGAACTAGAGCGATGGTTTCCCACCCTTGGGTCCCCAGATGTTCTGATAATTAGCAGCATTCGGGGGATTGTGTTTTGGTACCTTGGCTTTTAGCCTTACATGCAGGTCCCTCGAAGCACGCCAGCCTCTCCTCTCTCAAAACTATCAGCTTCATCCAGATCATAGTTTTCTGTAACTAAAGAACAGATGTGTTGGCCGAGAGTCTTCTGAAACAATTAATGGATCCAGGAACCTCACAAAAGCAGACCACGTTTGCAGGCAATATGCAAAAAGGCTGGGATAGAGAAACCTGCAAATTTTGGGTTTCATACCTCTCTGTTTCAAAAACTTATTTAGCCTTTTAAAATAAATGTAAGTCATTTGAGTAGTTCTTAAAAATGAGATACTTAACAAGTACAGGATCCCCCATAGATTAACTTCTTTTCCCCAATAGTAATTTTTCCCCATAGATATTTAAATCCTCCCCCCCGTTCCACAGGCGGCATTGTTTAAAATAGACATCCAGATTCACATGATCCAAGAGCCCCAAAGATAATGTAGAATCAGCTGAATGGAGCTGTTAATTCTCTGTGCATGAACAGATCTCATAAATATAAGGCTCCCCTGAACAGCTTCTTGCAGGCTCAAGTGTTTGCCTCCCCAGCCGACTCTTGCACCTGTGTTATTTTAGCAGAAACTGTTCTTTAACTGTTACACTCTTGATGGTTCATAAGATAATATCTGGATTTATTTTGATTTTTTTCTCTCACAGCTTTTCTGCCAAAGCCAATAATTGTAAATTTTTTTTGTGTTTGTTTTTTTTAATATTAAAAAAAATGAGACCCCCCAAAAAAGGCTTTGGAATAATGTCATCCGTGCTTCTTTCAGGGTTCTAAAATGAAAAATTAGCGAGGGAGGATTCTTTTCAACAGAAAGGAGAGGCAGATCCCTTACTCTATGTGGTTTTTACTTCAAGCCATAAATTCCTGTGTCAACATGGAGAGTTGCTCCCTGCCAGCTTCCACTTGGCCCAGATTAGGAAACGAGGAGCCAAACTGCACGATGGATTCTCATCCCTTCGCTGCACCTGCTTCCATCCGGGCAGAAGAGAAATATTTCAGGCGAAGACCCATGTACACCTCGTGTCCAGTGTCCTGTTGGCCCCGGGACCAGCCAGTCAGTTTCCGGGCACCTCAGGAGCCAGAGCCCTCATCTCACCCTGGAACTGGTGTCCCACACAGACACTTGGAAAAAGCAGGCTAGCTGTCCTGAAGATTTGGGTGGTTATAGACCAAGAAAGGAACCTTTCTGGAGCTTGATTCCATGCTACACAACTTGAGAGTGTGAAGATTCTGTCGTGATCGTGACAGCTAGGTGTGGTGATAAAGGACCCCTTGTCTCCTGCGGATTAGTGCCTGCCCTCCTAAACTGCCCTCCCACCTTTTATACCAGATTATCATCTTAGAACTGCAGAGCTGGAAAGGAACTTGTGGATCATTGATTCCAGCCCTTGCCAAGGAAGCCCAGTGAGGAATCGATCCCCCATCCTCTGCTGGCACTGCAGTGAGATGGGTAAACCACTGAGCTACCTGCCAGATACATGGAGGGGAGTGAGTGTCGGAAGGGGAGGGAGAACGGATGGAGCGGAAGGAAAGAATTAAACGTCATTTTCTTTAGACTCCTCAGCAGAAATGGAGCAAAATGTCCTTACTCAGCTCCCTAGGGACATTAAAAAAGCTATCCGTCACCTGTGAGAAATTTAGTTTTTGATCGTGGTGGGGAAACGGTGTCTCCTGGTACAGTAGCATCCATTAAGGTTAATAGTTTCACCCATTTCCTTGCCCTGAGGAACCCGGCATTAAAATAATATTAAGACAGTTTGCCCTCCGTCCTGTTAAAGCACAGTTCCTTGTGCAATGTTTTCTTTACTTTCGGACAGCCCGCAAAGCTAGTTTATTCATAGCAATTTCCTGATCGTGAACACCGTGCTTCTTTAGCCAGGGTCTCTGCAATAAAATGTAATGTGTAAAATAAGTTTCCACGCACTTTCTGGAAGCTGTAATTTACTTTTATAGAATACGATGTTGGAAGAATCACCCTGCTTTTTATTCCTCTAAAAATAAAAGTGGCAAAATATTGCTCTTAAAAAAAGAAATAACCCAAACTGCTTTACTGTGTTATAGTTTGCACAGTTTATAATGATCTTGGGTGTTTTCCAGGCAGGAGACTTTGTAAATTTCTCCTCCTTTCTGGTAAATGATTTTGAAGTTTCCTGCCCCATTTTCACTAGAGGAGTCCTATTAGAGAGAGGCTGTGTTGGAGTAATACTGGGTTGGGTTTTGGATCAAAATCAAAACTCGTCCCCCCCCCCCGTCTCCTTCAACCGGAGGCCTTTGCAAGGGCGTCCTCAGTGGAATCTCCCGTCAAAGTACGGACTTTTGAAAACGTAGCTCATCCCACTCGAGGGGTCCCATTTCTGAGCAGTTCCACAAATCGAGATGATGGGGATGATAAAACAAAAAAAGTTACTTGCTTTCATGTGGAGCGCATGTAAGTAGAAGTTGTGTTGCAGTTGGTGAGCCTCAAGCTTTGAACTTGCGGCGTCTGCACAGTTGCAGGTCCCTGAAGTGTGAGAACCACAATTTTATTTGTGTGCGACCTTGTGGGACCTCTTCCCCACCACTTGGCGGGCCTGAATGTAAGACCAAGGTAGGAAACCTCAGTACAATTTGCAGAAATCATGCCCAGCACAGTTAGTGGTGAAGATTTTTGGCAGTTTTAGTCCGAGAACATCTGGGCGCCCAAGGTGAAGAACCGTTGCTGCCTTTCTTCCTTGGAGAACACAAAAAGGGGACTGTCTGAAGGATTAGTAAGAACTGGTGGAATTGTTACAAGTGGAAATACGTCTGGTGTGTCTAAATCTTCCATTTATGCAGAAATGGTTTGGTCTTCTCAAAATTTGGGTTATAGAGTCAAGACTAGAGCTGGTTACGAACCATGGGTTTGGTGGGATGTGCTGGTTCAGCAGATGGCCAAACGGTTCATCGCCACATCCCCTCCAGTGAGCACCCACTGGGAATCAGTGTCCTGGCCTCCCTGTCATGTCTCTGGGTGGGCGCCCGCCAGCGGGAGTGGCGCGTGGAACTGCTGGAACACCTTTTGGGCTATCGGACGAACCAGTACAAACTGCCAAATGTTCGTTTGTGCCCATCTGTACTCAATGCATGTGGGGAGAGAAGGTCCGAAGCTTATGGGTGGAGGGCAGAGGCCTTACGTAGAGAAGGACCCCTTGTTGAATCCCAATAAATAAATAAATAAATAAATGGGTGGAGGGCAGAGGCCTTATATAGAGAAGGACCAGCAGCTAGAAATGACCTTGGCTTGTGGAACTTCAACACCCTCTCCCAATATAATGTCACAGTGAGCAATGCATTCATAAATGAATTTTTAAATGTATTTTTACTTAGCTTTCCCTCCCCATCCATCTGCATAGCGTCTGTTATTGTAGAATAGATATAACAGGTTTCCAGCGGTCAAAGCAACCAAGACATTTCCAATGTGATTATGGGTTCTTTTTTCTTTTTCTTTTTGCTTCTGTACGTGAGGAATCTGAAGGATTGAGTCTGTACAGCACAGATGAATAAAAGTAAATGTAATGCACTTTGAACATTCCCCGCCTGGTGCCTAGACTTTATTATATTTTTAAGAAGTATGCCCAATGGAGGCTGTTGCCAATTAAATATTTTGGCACCAAAGATGGATTCTTCCAAGTATATATAGGCTTGGCCTGTAACTGGAATGGAAGACAAATGGAATCAGGTATTATGGGATAACCCCCATCCCAAATACTTGATAGAGAAAAATGAGAGGAAATTGTTCCACGTTAAATGAGTAATAGTGCATAATAGAATAGCGAGGAAGCTAAATGGCATTTAAAACTTGCAAATGTTTCCAACTTCATGTGGGTTGCCGTAGCCCTTGGTGGTGCCTCTTTAAGCAGTGTCACACCATTGTCAGAGTTGAGTATCTTTTGCTCACTGTTGAAGCCCGCGCTACTGCCATCATTAGGTGGTCATTTCCATTGTTCACTTTTGCAGTCCTTTGAAAGAGTTGACTGTGGGAAGACAAGATGCGGCTGCAACTAAATAGCCCAGTCTCTTGGTCCCCTCCCTCTCGGTTTAGTTTGTAGTAACTGCAAGCCTGTATGTTGATTGGGGGGATTGGCACTGCAGGCTTTAAAGACATGAACACTTTAGATCAGTGGTTCCCAACCTTCAGTAACTGGGGTGTTCCTGGACAGCAACTCCCAGAAACCCTGGCCAGCACAGCTGGTGGTCAAGGCTTCTGGGTATTGCAATCCAAGAACACTTGGGTTACCCAAGGTTGAGAACCACTGCTTTTGATATTAATCAATATATATCCAAAATCTGATAATCTCTGACACCATCCTCATAGAGCCTTAGTACACACACCATGTTTCAGATTTCTGGTTTTTGTGACCTTAGATTGTTGGAAGCACAACTCTTCTTTATACACAATTTGTAATGGTTGTTGTTTTTCTTGTTGTTGTTATTATTGCTGCTTTATTCAAGAATAGCAGTGTTCAAAGTAGATACACCAGACCTGTGTAAAGCCAGTTAGCAATAATATTCTTAGAAGAGGGCAGAACAAAATGGCCAGAAAGCCTGTTATGTACGCCTGTCGCCATCTGTCTGATAGCATAAATCTCAGCAGCGAATTGCTACTTGTCAAGAAGTCAGTGGTGTATTTCCTGGGTGCAGGACTGGTGCTTGGGAAGAAATGAAAACACTGGGATCTGAGCGAGCAGAAAGTTACTTCCGAAATTTATGCTGTTGGATGTAAACCAGGATGATTATTCATTTGGATCCAGCCAGCGTTATGATGTATCCCAAACTCTTAATGAGGATCCATCCAGGGACATGCACTCTGGAGCATCCAGGGAAAGAATTACGGTATTTTACAGGAGCATCATGCTTACCAATTGTGGCAAGGGAAGGGTGGCACAGGTTTTTCACATCATGATCCATTTTTTCCCCAGGCACTTCTGCCCTGAAAGTGTTGTTGAGGCACATGGTAGATGGTGCACAATCCGAGCCTACCTTTTAACGACTGATTCTCCTTCTCTGTGCAGGTCCCTCGACTCCCTCTTGGGCAAAGCCACCCCAGGCTTGTCCGTCCTGGACTCTCATTTGGTGGAAATTGATGGCGGCATCCTCTACCTCTACGGCTCTGGCGCTCTGGAGTCACTGGATCGGAACTGGAGCGTTCAGACGGCCGGGAGCATTGCCACCGTCTCTTTTATTTTCATAGACTTTGATGAAATCGTTCCAGTCTTGCCAAAACTGAAGATTAAGTTTCCTAATTCTCTGGTAAGTAGTTTTCGTTCTTGACTTTTTCACCAGTTTTGCAGAACGTCAGGGTGTCTTGTTTGACCGAAGTCAAACACGAGGCAGTGGACCCATGTTTGGGAAAGGGACTTTAACCGGGTGATACTTTAATGTTTTTTTTTCAACTGATGTGCTGTTTAAATTGAATTGTGCTGTGACATTAACATTTCTTTAATCACTTTAATATTTATTAGTATTTATTTATGGCTTTCGTTTATATACCACCTCATGAGTGCAAAAGCAGTATTCTGGGTGGTTTACAAGCAGCCAAAACCAATATAAAAGTACAATCAACAGTAAATGAAAACACAAATAACAAATGGCATTAAACCAAATGGCACCAGAAAGGACTTTCCCCATAATAGTAGGGCAGGGGTGGTGGGACATTCGGTCAGAATCGGCGTAAAAGACCTCCCTGAAAAGTCTTGTTTTCCGTTACCTCCTAAACGAAAGCAAGGGCCAGGCGGAGCTCCTCCGGAAGCTGATGGCATAATGTCGGTACTGCCGCCGTTATACCTTGCTAGTTCTTTTGCTGTCCCTGTTTTTAATGTTGCAATTAGCTGCCTTGAGCCCCAATTTGAAGACAACATTAGGAGTGTGTGTGGCATGAGACAGTCCCCACATCTAGGAAAACTGTGTTGATTCTTAGTGCAAAAACATGGACAATAAAAGCAACCCCCAGTCTTATGAGTCAAACATTGATCAGGCGTTGTGTTGCCTGCCACTTTTCAAACGGCTGCTTATCCCTTTGCAAACATCTGGCTTTCACCAAATGTTCAGCTTTGTCTGCCCGGCTTCTCTTTGTTTCCCCAGCACTTGAAATTCAAGGAGACCAACCTTGTCATGTTGCAGCAGTTCAATGCCTTAGCCCAAGTTCGCCGCCTTGAGCAGTTGACCGTTGAGGCTCAGGGAAATCCGGTTGTCACCTTCACCTTATGGAAATATTATGTTCTGTTTCGATTGAGCCATCTCAACCTGCAAAAAATAGATGGGATCGAGGTAAGGAAAGGCAATACCTTAGTGATATATATGTAAGTGAATCAGTGGATACTGATCTCGTGGATAAGGGGGCCCTACTTACTGTACTGAATTAATTTAAGGAGACATGCAAGATTCTGGGGCAGCTCTCTTCATCCATGTATGCCCCGTCATGAAGGTTTTCCAGGATTCTTGTTCTGTGTCGCCTTGTTCAAATGTATCTCTTAAGCTAGGGGACACTTCAGTTGAACTACTTCTAATTATAAAGCAAATGTTACTCCTACTCCTTCAAATGCATCCCATTGTTAGATAAATCTGGTTATGTTTAAACTTGTATTTGTCATACAGGAAACCCCTGAGTTAACGGAGAATTGGAGAGCCTTGTTTATAATTTGTTACAAACTGCGTTGATATTCGATAAGTCATAAAATATATCTAGAACTTCAAATTGCAAGATTTACTTTTCAGTTCCTTTCTGGAAGACATTAATCGTGAAATAGAAAGTGAAGGGACACCCCCCCCCCACTAAACTCAGCTGAAAACTCCCAGAGGGAGGAAAAAGAAGGAGAGAATAGTTCCCCTTAAATAATTCAGGATCTTGCAAAGGAAAACACCCCATTAAATTTCTAATATTATCTCAGTGTAGACATTTTTTTTAGCTAAACGTAAATTATTTTTATGAGAACATTTTAGAATGACTTTGTATTATCAAGCAAAATGAACATATTTCCATGTATCTATAACCCACTGGGAACCTCTGAAAATTTGGCCATTTGAAAAATTGAAAAGGATTTACTGCTTCCCACCTTCATTATATGTGAATACTTTGTATGCTGATTTTGCTTTCCCTTAAGATACTGTACTTAACTACATATATAGTACATGCGGAGATGGGTGCAAGAGAACTATTCTGATTTAGTGAAGCCATGGGGAATTTGAACGGCATGCTAAACTATGAAGAAGGCAACCCCATTGAAGGGTAGGGTCTCTTCCAGCTCTTCCTTATTTCATTTCATTTCTGTGCTCCCCTTCTCTCAATTATAGAAACCAAGGCGGCTCACAAATTATTAAAAGACCAAACCAGTTAAAAAGAAAATCCAGGATAAATGATTTTATATAAAAAAGAAGTAAACATATGTAAGTATTGGAAAAATCAGCTAAAACTGTTTTTAAAAAACTTTAATAGCAAGTTAAAACACAATAAAATAATAAGCCATTCCCAAACTCACCGCTGCTTAATTAGTTGTTAAAAAACAACTCTAAAAAGTATGCTGTTCCCCTATCTCTGGAAGGACGAGAGGGAGGGGGCCAACCTGGCCTTGCAGGGGAGGGCATGCCACCGAGAAGGCCGTCTCTCGCTTCCCTACCAAATGAGCCTAAGAAGACGGTGAGGCTGAGAGAAGAGCATCCACTGAAGGCAGATATGGTCACCATAACCGTAATCATCATCTTAGAACTGCAGAGCTGGAAGGGACCCTTGAGATCATCCAGTCCAGCCCCTCTCCATGGGGAATCGAACTCCCAACCTCTGGCTTAAACCACCGACTCCCAGCCTCCGGCTCCGCAGCCAGATGCTTAAACCACTGCGCTATCGAGCTGTTCCTATTCTATGGGTCCTCAGCTAACATTTGGCACCGTCAGGCTCAGCCCCGCATGCAAACTACGAAGTGATGACTTGATTGGCCTACTTTAATTCCAGTTCCAAGTACAATATATGTGGTGGATGAAATTTACTGTATCAAAAAGCAAAGTGTTAAATTTAAATGCTGACCCTCACTGGTTGGTAGACATGATGGCTGGAAAGAAGAAAAAGGAAAGCTTAGTCAAGATGTTTGGACAATTTTTGGAATCATTGCTGTTGAAAATGAGAGTTGTTTTACGTGCTTCCCGCTGTCCGAGATTGACCCCAATTCTGTTCGGCCACCTTCTGTCTTCTTCAGGTTACACAGAACGACACGGTTATGGCTGAACGGCTGTTTGGTGTGTTGGCCTATGTGGCGTCTTCAGATGTACCCTATTACCGCTTGCTTTCATTACTCGGAGAAGGCAGGTAAATCGACATGAACGTGAGGAATTTCCTTTTGCAGGGAATACTGGAATGCAGAGTTTCGGAAGAGGAAATTAAGTTGTCTTGTGACGCCACCACCTCCATTGTCCTATTTGCATAAAAAGCATTTTCATAGGGTGAAGAATAACACATTAAAATCCGCCTTTGGGAGGCACAGACTGGGGTGTTGAGCTAGATTTGGGCCCCTTCAGGGACCACAGCAGGTCCGTCCCAGCAGCAGACGGTCTTTTTGGTGGTGACACCCAAAATCTGAAATAGTCTCAGGAGGGAGGAACAGGGGGACTCTACATTCATTGCGTACTTTATACGGGCAGTGAGGAAGGTCTATTTCAGAAGGCTTGCTCAGAACCATGCCATGAGCTGTTTGTTGCTGTTTTTAAACAGGTCTGTTTTAGGGCTTGAGCTTTATATATTATTTATTTCAAATATTTTTACCCTGCCTTTCTCTTTTAAAAAGTAACCAAGGTGGTTTGCATCATTAAAAGACAATATTAGAAGCTAACAACACTGAGTATATGAAAACAATGTCACATAAAAAGGTAAACAAAAGTAACATTGAAAACATATTCAAAGCAGTAAAGCATAACCATCTACTTAAAAACCTCACTCAGGCAGCCACTCATTAAGGGAAAGCTTGCCTGGAGATAACGCTCTTGGCCTGCTTGTGGAAGGACAGCCAAGAGGGGGCCAGGCTGGCCTCCAGTGGCAGGGAGTTCCAGAGTCTGGGAGCAGCCGCATACAAGGCCCTCCTCTCCCGTGTCCCCACCAAACGCACCTTTCAGGTGTTTTGTATTTTTCTAAATATATACTGTGATATGTCCTATATGTGTCCTATAAGTGCTCCTATTCAAAAAGAGTGTAACAGTCAGTGATAACATAAGTCAGTTCCATAACTGTGAATAGGCTTGTACTTTGTGATGGATCAAATTGTCTCTTTATTGAAATGAAAGGGGAAGGCAGGATGACATACTGTGTGTTTACTGCAGCTCCCCTGTCTCAGAAAGAACAAAGGATTTTAAAAGCTTTTTTATTTAGCACTCTGAACTTCTTGTGCTTTGTTTTCATCTTTATTTCTCTCCTTGTGTATTTAGGATCCTCCTTGCTTTCTCTTTCTCATGTTAGGTATTAATTTATCTCTCCAATGGTTAGCATTCCAAGATGAACAGATAAATACCCCACACATAACAAGCTACAGGATATGCCTTAAACCCAAAACTTGTAAATTGAAATGGGCAGGCACCAATGAGAGGCGGCTCTACGGTTACCAGCAAGGATTGGTATGTCTAATCGAAGTTTATAAATCATTCTATGTCTCCTTTCTTCTCAATCCCTACCCTGTTCTTAGGAAGAAACAACTGTGTTACCTTTTGGAAGCAAAGGGGAAAAAACCAGGAGGTGCCAGCGAAGACAGCAACGACTACCACCGAAAGCTTGGAGTAGAAAATGCTGGTCGGTTGACATTGAATTATACCCCACGAGAATCTCAGGCTGAAAAACTGGAGGTAGGGAGGGGAGCCCAGGCAGAACAAGCGCTGTGAAAAAAAAATCTCAGCTGTTTGTTTTTCTTGTGGTCGCTCATCTACTTTTTAATCAGTTTCTTATATATTTTCTTTTGCTGAAACAGCGCAGTGGATTTCCGTCCAGTGAGACAGTTTATTTCCAGATTGAAATGGAATATAACCAGTACCTCCTGCTCCACAACTTAGCAGTAGCACTATTAAAAATATTCAGAAGCTGACACACGCATATCTTGTAAATGGAGATATTCAGAACACGCTGCATATACAGAAGGGCGTACTCGTTCCCTCTTCCTCCCCTCGCCCATGCCCCTCTCTGCCCCCTTCTTCCGTTCTGAAATGAACATAAACAGGCTAGGTTTTCCCTGACAAAAAGCTGTATGTACTGTATAATGTCATAAGGATTAGTCAAGATAGATAGAAAGCTAGAAAGCTTAATTAGGAACTTCCCTAACACAACACAAAGATAACCTTTAAAAAAAAATCCTAGAGGGTAGATCCTATACAGTGAGGGTTGGCATCTGCCCCCCAATCTAGAGTTATTCTTCTGCAACTTCTGCCAGCCCATGGTAGCATGGAGGGTGGCGAGGGATTATGTGTCTGCCATAATTGTAGGCCAAAAACATCTACAGGACCACAAGAGGTTTCTTCAGCTCTCCTTATCTACCTGTTCAGTTCATCGGGAATTGCTACCCAAGAAAACGTGTAGTTTGAAGTGACAGTAAACTGTTGGAAGCAATAATGGCAAGAAAGACCAGTGAGCCAGACTAAAACATCATCTTGAATTTTCAACAAAATGAACATGCACAAGTCCCCCCCCTCCAGAACCCTCATAACGGTTAACTGGCTCAAAAGGGACAACACACTCGGTACCCGATGAATATCTCCAGAGGGGAGCATTCCGGTTTTATTGCTGAAACAGATGAAGGTGGAAATGTTTTCATTATCGCTAGTCAGAAGTCTGGCTGTGTTTTTCCTCAAACAGTGTTGGTTTCCGTGTTGTCTTCAAGGCAACTCCCATGCATATCTCCTTGCAGTCGTCTAACCTGGATGCCCTCTTGAGGCTCATGTATTACAGAAATGGTCTTAACCTGAGAGATCGCCATAGCTGACTAGTTTTTGTGTGCACCCAAGGCTGAATTTGAACAGAAGGCTTCTCACCTGCCCAAACTTGCTTGCTTACTTGCCTACTTGCTTGCTTACTTTAATGTTTGTTTCGACTTATATACCGCCCCGTAGTGCTTAGAGCACTCTCTAAGCAGTTTATAACATAACTAAGCAAGGAACGTTTTCTACTGTGAAAGCTCTTTGTGCAGAAGACTTATTCAGCAGAAAAAAAATGGAAAGTTTAATTGCTGAGGTTGCCCAATGTAGGGAAGCAGGGGAAATCCCTCCGAATACCTGTGGATTTTTCTGAATGCCGTCCTTGGAGAGTAAGGGAGGGAGAGCCGTAGCTGCCCATCTAGCTTGCTATCAGCGGGAAGATGATGGAAAATGTGACAGCTAGTTTGCTGTCAAGGGTGGCGAATAAACATGGAGTAATTGCATTTCTGCGTTCACGCAGGTGGGAGGGCTTTGCTGTCGTCTTCTTATCCATTAAAATCAGTTCTGTGTGGTTCAGAGGAACAAACTCTGACCTCACATTTTCAGCTGGGCTATAAATCAGTGGGATTTAATGCTGTGGCAGTTTCCAAAGGGTGGTTGTTACGGGGCTTTGTGGAAATCCCGCATAAAAGGGGATTATGATAATTGAACAAGAAGGTCTCAGGGTTGCAACAATAGATTCTCTCCACCCATCCACCCACCCACACATTTGTGAGGATCTTTATAAAGCCAGGATTTAGCCAAATTGCAGGGCTTTTCATGATTGTGTTGGTTAAAAAAAAAAGTGCCCACCCCAGACACTGCTTTGTATAGGCAGATATACTACAAAAGGCTGTGTACAGTTTTAAAACACAAATTCAAATGCGCCCACATGCACACCCGATGAAAAAAGCCACTTCTGTATCCAATACCTCCGTAACTCTGCATACAGTAATATTGGCAGTATGAACCATTGGGCACTTGGGCCTCTGAAAACCTTTTGATCCTTTCTCTCTGAAAGCCTCCTGGAAAAAAAAACGAAGTCAGTTCTGCTTAATTGCCGATGGCCCGTTAAAGAGCAAAACCAAGGTTAGGAATGAATGAGCCGTTCCTGCGATGGAGAGGCGTGAAGAAGTGGCCTCGTCCACATTTTGCTACGGGAACGGAACCAGAATTTCTTGACTTGTCTGTCAGTGTTCTGGAATCCGAGGAGAGAAGGGAGAGGGCTGGATTTCCTCAAGAGGTGAAAGGGTGTAGGTTAAAAATAGGAAAGGAATTTTAGAAACTTCAAAAAATCACTTGCCAGGCTGAGAGAGCGGGCATGATCGTGACAAGATGTGTAAGTAAAGGCAACACAGTGCATGTTGGGTCAGTGACGTCAAGGTTCCCCATCTTCTCTGGTGGGGTAAGACGGAAAAAGAGCTAGTGGCCAAGCCGTGATTTCACTGTGATGCCCGAGCAGAAGCAAAATTCAGTGGTACTCCTGTTTGAAGTGGGAGGTGATCTTGTCATCAGGCTCTATTGTCTGAACTGTTTTTGTTTTATAATTCCATTTGTAGTTGCAAATTAGCCCATTTCCCCTTCGGCCCAAAGGAGCTTGGCCGCCTTCAAACACTTGCCTTCTCTTTCAGTAACAAAAATTGCTGTCAGGAACGAGAAGGAGAGAGAGAGAGAGAGAGAGAGAGAGAGAGAGAGTCCTTTACCTCCTCTGGAATCTCCTGTTCTCTGGGGACCAATATGTCAGTCGTTACTCTCCCCTATGAATGTCTCTGGTATTTTTCTAATTAAACTTCGTTGCACCAAAGGGCTTTGTTTCCTGATTTTTGATCTATTTATTTATTTCTTTTTGCCCTCAACAATGGTTCTTTTGTACAGGAAATGAAGGACAGGAAGAACTTCTGCCAAACCTACATCCAAGAGTTAGTGAAGGAAGCGGCTGACATCAATATGAAAAACGAGTCGTTGCAGAAACTCTGGCCTCAGATCTTCATTGAACTCGTCAGGGATGCTGTGATGGAGATACGCAACAAGGACTCCTACACGAAGCTCAGCTTGCAACGAATTGCTGCCGATCCGAAGTCGTAAAGAGCACGGGTTCCCTCCGGATGTCAGTGTCCTGTTGTCTTGTTTTCCATCAAGGCCTCAAATGGCCTGATGCATTTGCCATTGCTCCTGGACAACTATTTAAATGATATCGATAAAGGTTGCCTTGAAAAAACCACACTCTCTCTCTTACACACACAGAAACATACACACAAAATGTGGCCTTTTTCACATTTTTTGGATTCCCTTTCCCTGGCTCAAACTTGCACGAGTGTGTATACACCACAGGCTTCAAACAGCAGCGTGCAGATAATGTGACACCTGTCCTGGGTAATGGTCTGAATTCCCACGTCTCTACTTATTGCCATGGCTGCTCTTGCTGCATTTTACACAAGGACACTTAATTTAAAGGAAAGGCACCCCACTCCTCTGGACACTCCACCTTTCAGTGTTTTCCTTCTCTTGCTGCTGTCGCTGGGGGGTGTAAGGTGTTGAACACTGGAAATTTAATAAATTATTCTGTTTATAATTGCCAAACTAATAATAATCTTAGAACTTGAAAGAGTTGTTTTCATTTGGTAACAACAGAATTATGCCATGTGGGTTTTACATTTTCAATAGCAGAACTCTTGAGGGAGCTAAGAGGTCCTGTGGGTCCCAAGAGAGATGCTTCTACGGTTCTCAGCCTCCGTCTGCTTCATATATGAACAGATGTTTCAAGCATCAGATGTGAATCCAACACACGTGTTAGTCAGATGACACTAATGAGGAAGGTAGGACTGGCTGCAAGTCTCTTGAATATACACACCACGGAAAACCTGAGGTTTCCTCTGTATAAATGGGGTGGATAACTTTAGATGGTCTAGAACCGTGGTTCCCAACCTTGGGTAGCCCAGATGTTTTTGGACACCAACTCCCAGAAATCTTGGCCAGCGCAGCTCACGGTGAAGGCTTCTGGGAGTTTCAGTCCAAGAACATTTGGGGACCCAGGCTTGGGAGCCACCGGTCAAGTGTCTGTTGCCCAGAATCCCCCCTCCCCGGTTGCACGGTCCCCTCCCAGCCAAGCCAAAATTGGCCAGAAAATTTCCCGATTTCCAAAATGGGATTTGTGGGTTAAATCATGACTCCCTTTTGCACAGCGAGGTTCTGTCTCTCGGTAATGGCGGAGTGTGATGGAACCAAGGGAGCTGGTAAAGATAGACTGACTAAAATAATCGATTGAGACTGTTTTGTGCCAGGCTTGCTTTTTTAAAGCCTGGATTTATGGTCTGGCAGAATAAATAAATAAATAAATAACTCTCTGAAAAATGTACTCGAGCAACTAATTTTGCATGTTGCTCTTTTTAAGGATTGTTAAAGTTTTGAATGACTTTATTCACCAGTTAACTACTTCACCTCGAGTCTGCCCAGTTAAGTCTGGAAATAGCCAGAGCTAGAAGGCCCGGGGAGAGAGAATGGTTTTCACTCGGTGCCAGAAGTCCACCAGATGTGGTAGCAGGAGAGTGTTTCAGTTTTGGGGTACCGCTGCTGCAACGGCTGTATCTCTGTGTCCCACTTGCATGTGGTCTCCAGTTCTTGCCTGCGAGGTCATGATGGGGTTAGATGAGCGATCTGGGGAAAGGCTTCAAAGGCTGGCCTTAATGTTTAGGGAGTCCCAGGTCGAACTAGATAATCCTTAAGCGCAGCAAGCCCTAAACTTAACTCCCTATGGCTCCCTGGTGTGTCTTCCTTGTTGATCTGTGCTAAGATCTGTTTTTTTATGTAGTGAATTCTTATTAGCAGGAGCGTGTGTCCAGCTTAGTATGAAGCACAGTGGTCGAAAGCCGAGGTTAATCCATCTACCCGCACATCTCACTTGGAGAAGAATTCTGGCAACCAGGAGAACTTGGAGGCTCCCGTCCCTGCTTATTCAGGTTAGATTTCTTTGGCTGAAAGGCTGCCCAGGCAGAACCTGTCACCTGTGGCAGGGTCTCTTACAGAATTCATTAAGAAGTTGGTACGGATCCTTGAATTACAAGTATGTGCCGTGCTTGTATTGGCCGGGCGTCTGCTCAAATAACAGGGCTTGCCAGTGTTATAAAACCCGTTGCCTTTCTGTAAAAGACGGCTGTTCTGAGACAGGGTTCTGGAGAGCTTTTGCGTGCCTCCAGAATCTTAACGGTCTCCATCAGTGAGAAAATTACTCGCAGCAGAAAGGCTTCCCTGAAACACAGCTTAATGTTAATGATGTTACATCAGTCTACAGTGGAAAGAAGCGCCACCAGGATGTTTTGTGTGTGTTTCTCATTACTGTGTGTGCCCTTTTGTACCACAATACTTCCTTTAAGTACAATGAGAAGATGGAGATGTTTAGAACAAAGGAGCTGATGCCGTTTGGATTATGATTAATGACTTGCCAGCAAGGTTAACCCTGCCTCTTCCCTGTTTTGCATTCAAATTCTCTCTGCTCAAGAGCTTGGAATTGTTACTTTTAAAAAAACAACAGGGCACTTCACTTTTAGCAAATAATGTGTTACTCATTACAGTTAACAAACACCATGGTCCATTTTTAGGATGTGACTGCCAGCATTTTTATTTTTAGGGACTAAATCCAGTGCTTGTCTCAACTAGAGTACTTCCATTGACCGGACTGCTCATTCTAAACCAGTGCTTGTGTTAACCCCATTGGTCCAGTAGGTCTGCTCCAACTGGGGCAAGCCATCCGATTTAAGCAATGGCTCACTAAAAATGGTTAGAATGGCCACCGTATATAGAAGTAACATTTCTGCAATGAGCGAGGCCTTTTTATGTAAAGCCTTTTAACGGAATCCCTGTTTATATCTGAAACCATCTGTGGCTCCCATCAGGCCAGACCTGTGAAGCCACTGGTGACAGTGGTGGAGCCAGACACCCTGTGCATTGCACAAAGTGGACAATTATTGTGCAGAGTTTTGAATAGAACATTAGCCCCCCACCCCCATGAGGGCTCTTTCAAGAGGACCAGGAAATTCCTCGTTGCCAAGGAGAGCGCCGCTTGCTCTTCATTCCTCACATGTGCAATGAAGTGGACAAGTGAGCATGGACATCCTTACATGAATCCCGTTCATAGGCATGGACCCCTCTTCCCAAAATCTCTGTGCCTGTGTGTAATTTTACAGGATGTGAACCTCCATATCCTCACTCATTAGATGCACATGTGGGGGGGAGAACCATTCCCTTTTCTTTATGGAAAAGAGATTTACGTGAATGCGCTGGTAGGCGTTACGCAAGCACTGGCATGCGCATGTCCGTACCTAGAATGGGTCTGTACCAAAACCCTTGGGTCCTTTGTTATTTGTTTTGGCTTGCCTCTGTTTCCCCATTTGTTATGCCTCCTTGCTCAGAAGAAGAGAATCCAGATCTCGGTGATTAGAGCCGTATCTCTATTCCTGTTTTTGAAACAGGATCTGAAATAAAAGACAGAGCGTGGACTTTTGTTTACATACAGAGTCTCTGTTGCATGAAAAGAGCAGCCGTTCAGCATGAGATGCTCCTCCTGGCAGAAAGGGGAAGAAAGATACCGGGACTGAGGGGAGAATTCATTTTATACGTACACAACTCATGTTAGACAATCTCTCTTCTTCGCCAGCAAAGATCTGTATCTTCAAAGAGCCCGTAGTTTCATCCTCTGTCCTTTGACCAAACTCTGAACGACTTTGGCTCACATTTAGATAGGCTTTCTTCTGTTTTCTTCCTCTTAATTACAGGCCGTTGAGAGTGCAGCATTGAAGCTATCCTGAAGCTTGGCCCATCTCAAATGCATACTTGCCCTCAGCATCTCATCCATTACAAACAAGCATAAATGCATTTCATCTCCCACTGACCCTTGCCCTCCCCATTTAAAAATCAGCCAAGGGATATATATATATATCTTGCTGTTTTTCAGCCCTGGTTGTGCTGCCAGGTCAAACTTTTAATTCACGACTGCAAACTAGCTTGGCGTAGCAAGAGCACAGGAAAATTCTTATTGGCTCCTTCTGCTTTTCATTAAGTCCACATTTCTTTCAAGTTTTGGGTGCCTTCGTGATCTTTCGGTTTCTTTTCTGTTTTGATTGCTTTTCTTTATTCTTATATCCCATGACTTCCCTTACACGAAATCCCTTTGCTGGTTCTTAGAATAGGTGTGTGGAGTCAACTGCTCAATGATCTATGATCAGTTCTGTAAATCCTATTGATTCAGTGGTTTTGCTCTCATTGGGAGTATGAAATGGAATCAGGCCTGCGTGCTCTGTGTTTTCTCTCCTATGGCGCTTTAACATGCGGAGGCCTCTCCCTTGAAGGGTTTGTTTGATCATCCATTTGTCTAATTTCTCTTCTTTCTGATTCTTCCCTTTGTGCCATTATCTCTTCCAGTTCCTCTCTCTTTTTTGTATCTTGTTTCTTTAGTCTTATGGGCAGAGAGGGCTACATCCCAGCTTTGAACGGGGCCTAGAATATAGTCAGCACTTCTGTAGATAATCACTGACGATAGCTGTATCTAATCCACGTTGGGGCCATTCTGAGAAAGACCCATTCTCCTGTACCATTCGTTCCATTGGCATGGCATAACCAGATATGAAAAGTCCACCCCATTCCCACCCTGGCCCTAATGGTTCAGCCGGAGTGTTTGTATGGAAGGATCTCAGCTACAGAGCGACCCAAGAGAGGCTTTGTCTCACGTTTCTTGCAAGATTTTGGATAGCTTTCTTATCCCACCCGTTCTCCAAGGAGAGTGCTGTGTGATTTGCGTAGGCTTATCACTGTTTTTCCTCCAGTGGGAAATGTCGCGTGAGTATAGCTTTTCTCTAAAGAATGTCCAGCCAGAGAATGGCTCTATAAAGATTTGATTTTCTTCTGCTTACTACCTTTGCTATCCAGCAGTTGTGGTCCTCAGCCTAGCCCCGGGTGGCTTACAAAAGATCTGTTAAAACAAGGAATGAAACCATAAAACAATTCATGGTAAAATCATGTTAAATTGCAAACACGTCCAGGGTTCACTGCAGTCACAGCAGAACAGGAATGAAGGAAGCTGCTTTAGTGAGGCTGGCGGCCCATGGAATTCAGTGCCGTGGACATCATCTGGGAGCAGTTCTCTGGTACTTCGGAGTTTTTCTTGCCCTACCTGGAAGTTACAGGGAGTGAATTTTGCAAAATGTGTGGAACAGCAACTACAGAAAGTACATCTGCATCTGCTCAGTGCCTTCATGGGGGATCACCTAAAAATCCTACATATACTGACTCCAGAGTAGAAATGAAGACAAGTACAATATAGTTGGTTGATGTTCTGTATGGCATCTTTAGCCTCTGTAGGTTTTTAATCAGCTCTCGGAAGATGTGTCGTGATGGGCCCTGGAGTGACTTCTTAGAGACAAGGTACCATGCCAGGCTGAGTCACTGGGAAAAACAGCAGCTGCCTCTTGTACTGCCTATTAGCATGACTTCCAGAAGTGTGTCTCTGTTTGTGTATAATCGACTCCTGAAATATTGCCTGCCGTGCCTAACAGGGAATGAACAAGGCGAAGCGGGCCTGAATGT